CGCGTCTCTGTCTTAGACAATCCTTGAAAGTAAAAGTCACATGTTCTCGCTAATTGATGATTTCCGCAGGATTTGGTCTACGTATCAAGATAAATAGGTGAGTATTTTTTGGAGCTTAACCAGTGATTGCCTTGACGATGGCTCGCTACCCATAAAGATTGTCAACTATTTTTGTAGCTTGTGTTGCGGTACGATGAAAAATGTTGTCCGAGGCATCTCTCTTAAAATCCGTGGACTCTCCCGCCCCGCTCTCCTGGACATTTGTCTTATATAAAGATGACCGGGATAATGCTTACTGCTCTTTTTAGACTATTGCCTCTCTTATAGAAAAACACTACTTCACCGTACCTTCATATACGGCATGGCGTTTGACAACTGCTGAATGAAAAATTCATAATTCTCTCCTTTTGAATATGGTTATACCAAGACTCTACTAAGTTTAAAAGCAGATGACGATAAGAGTAGCTTTGCACATCAATTTCTCTGGGCCTCCTCTTCCGACCCACTATTTATGTAAATCTTTTTTGTACGACTCCGATGCACATACGACTTTCGCAACTCAGCCATTACAGGTTATTCTTGGAGGGAATCGTCACCCCTTAAAACTAACCATTCAAATACATATTGCCGGTACTTAGCAGGATAAGTTATGTCGTATCATGCTTGCTTCTTATGAATAACCTAAATCTCGGCCCCCATCCCTACTCACTGGTAGAGCTGGTTTGCTTAATAAGCTTAGCCCCTTTCCATAACTCACGAAAACTTCCATAATACAAGCACTGCTTCGAAAACTTTCGATAATGTGAATACTGGCGTAGAACGCATAATAGATCAAGATGCATATAATGACGTCTTGCACCACTTTCAAAACATAGCTACTTCACCAATTCCTAGATCGGCACGTGTACTTATAAATATCATGGTGGTTTACGCGACAACGTCATGCCCTCGTGCGATAATACGTTTCGATTGCCTCCGGAAAATATTCCATACTTACACTCCATAACTCAAGCCTAGCTAAAACTTTATAAGACCCCTGTTGGTTACGCAATAGACATAATACATGTAAACAAACTACACCCTCGTCTTGCACACAAATCCCGACGTTAGATGGAAACGGATCTGGTCTACTAACACCACCTTACTCAGACGATTTACGACTAAAAGTCTACTTAAAAGCATGGCCATGACATCTCGACCATAGGAACACACGAGTGGTAATAGTCAGATATTAGGATACATGAGCATTGTTGGCAGTGCAGTATTACTATCTGATCATCGTGTCTGGTTAAAGTTGACCTCTGTGTGTGGCATTACGGTAACTCCTGATTGCCCTCGGACGATGATAAGCTCAAGTCCCGAGAACCAAAAAATTGTGGACTAACTACTTGCTAGTTATTAAAACATCATGACACATAGAAAACCCCTGGCTAAAAATACTAGGGATATGGATAGGCTAATCTATAGATTAGGTAGGATGTACGAAGGAGAATATTAGGTCGACACCTATTTTTTCATAATTAATCCCTGTATATATAGTACAAAATTGTATGTACCAGTAATTCTGCTTGGTTCTAGACAAGATACCGGACATACTAATTTAATAATACCCATTGTAGTATATTACGACACAGCCTCAAAACAAAGGAATATTCATAATGACCAGTTTATTAGACACAGAGGAGAATTTTTTTTATCAGAAAAAGATAAATCATACTTAATACGAAAGTAAACTATACCTAGTGCGCATATCGATCATCCAATCCCAAGACAAGACGACGATGGTCTGATACTCGCCCCCTCCTGAATTGCTTATGATTAATATTGGTGATAGACACCTGCCTGTATGACCTGCCAAAACCATGCACCTATTATTTAAACATCACTGTGATGGACATTACACGTTTGGAACCTCACTTTACACATAACACGACTACCCTGACTAGGACATAGTCGCTTAACGTAGACTGTGTATCAGCCATTCAGTTTTTTGAAATATATGCTAGTTTAGCAAAACATGTTCTGTATCCGTGCCTACAGCTTCCCTGATGATGAGAATAAGTCAATATCCTCTACTGATACAATCTTGATACTTCCCGTTTCAAGGTAGGGAAAAACCTTGACGGGTTTACCCGAAGTTAGAACGTCATCAACACATTAAGTTATACAACTTTTTCCAGAACACGTTTGTAAATTCCCTTTTATGATATAAGTTATGGCTACTTTAAAACTTTCCATATTGCTCGCTCCGCATAAAAATGAAGGCGCATATCATGCCCTACATACACAAACCTCCCCGAAAAAATTCTTTCCTGTTGCCAACTCTCACTGTTGCGTACAGGCAACGAACACATTAGATAAACACTCACACATATCCTGACGCCATTGTGTACGATTGGTAGGCTAACAGGGTACAATGACCTCCCTATATGGCCATAAGACCTTTTTTCATACTTATCAGAAAAACCAATCTTACGCTTGTAGCCATACAAATTTTTAGAAAATGCGCACCATAGACAAAAACAGTTATGTATTTAAAACCAAAATTCACCCGACTCTACAACTAAAATAGTTGACACTCTACCATACACACCATGACAAGATCCACAATAAATGTCGATCACACATTCGAATCTTTTATCCAGATGTCCTTATTCGATAGCACACACAACTCAATCAGCGTCCCTAACCGTGTTACTAGCACGAACTGGTTAAATCACACGTGCGGCCGGCCTGAATCTTTCGTACCAATCAACCACGCTATGCACTTAGTCCCCTGGTTCCCTTAAAGATCCACCGGAAAACTCGGGACTATCTATAAACGGCTACCTGGCGAAACTTTGCCATACTCAAATGGTTACCACGGATAGTTATCCCCAATGCGCAATACACCTCGCATACCCCTACGTTCTTGTAAGGGGGGTTCCATTATTGCCTCCCACTCCACGAAATCCACCTGACGACCATCATGCTCCTGTAACAGATCGCTTGTCACGAGATCAACCATTTCTGCCACCACATCTACTCCACCACCCGGAACTGAATCTGGTATATCTTTGTGCACCTTTCTTACAAATACGGTACCCTCACACAAATTTTCCGCATCATATCCCAACCCCACGCTCAACTCTAAAGCCAGTGCCTCATTCGTCATTACACGATAATGACGCACCGCGGATTCAGTAACCCGGAGACTGAATCGATAATCCAAACCCTTTTTGTCTCCCCGACGATGGCGTAGCTCATGCACCATTATTGCTCTACCACGAACATCCCCCACACACGTGGTTACGATATCCATACTGCCGTGACAGACTCTCCTTCCCCTTCCTCTCGCCCTTGTTCCTGCCTTCTTCGTTGTTCTTCCCCCAACTGCTTTCTGGTATTCCCTTCTTCCTCCCCCTCTCCCTCTCGCTCTCGCCTCCCCGACCACTCTTATCTCGCCGTCTTTCAAATACCCAAGATAATCCTCCGTTAATTCTTCCTAAGTGGCCAAAAAACCATCGTTACCATGAGTGGTTACTGTTACCACCTCCATACCTGACCCATGAGCCCACAACTGATGGCGCAGATCCACCCCGCTGCTCACGACTAAACTACAGTCTTCCCTCCTTATATACTGATCAGCCACCTGGATCGATAAAACAATAACGCACATGGATCGATAAAACAACACATACCATCCCCCTTGCAAATACTGAGATGAGCGAGTTACCGCCCTTCGCGAATTTTTTGTCTTCAAACACCCTAGGGCATGACAAACCTTACAAACCCCTTATTACCCCCATATGACGCACACATATGGGATCTATAAACGATTAATATATGGAACCCCTGTCGTCAACTACGTACAAACCCTATTCATTATCTGATCCAAAATACCTCCACCCCACCCGACCTACTTTGTTAATTAAAATAAAAAACAATAAATTAATAAAAAATAATTGATAAATATCAAATCAACTAAGAAATAAATTTGTATAAAATACTAAAATGTTTGAATTAAAAAAAAAAATATATATATATATATAAAATAAAAAAATAAAAATAAAAAATAAAAAATAAAAAATAGAATAAAAAAAATTAATACAATTTATTTTATAAAAATATATAAATAAATTTATAAAAATAATAAAAACTTTTAAATACAAACTAGACAAAAAAAAAAAAAAAAATTTATAAAAAGGGTTTTCCTCTTCACTACTGACTGATTCCCCATGCATCCACCTTCAGTCTATACAGCCCCCACGAGTCTAGCCAATTTTTTGAAAAAACTATAACTGTTAAACAGTAGAAACATGAATGCTACGATCTCTTACATACATGATCTGCACCCTGACCTGCAATGATAACCCGGACGTGACGATCCAAGACATACCGCACCCCTAATGCCCTCTACGTCGTCCCTGTCTATGACTTACTGGGCAAACCAGATCGACACACAGAGTACAAACCTTAAAAGTATAATAAAAATTTAAAAAATAAAAAATAAAATTAAGAATAAAGAAAAAATAATAAATAGTACTATAGGAAGCCCACTTTCACAGAGACGCACATCTGCCAGATTAAATAAGCTACCCAATGACACATTCGCAACATTATACTATGCCCACTGCGAATCACAACCATATTGCTATGCCACCTAAAAATAACTCTACAGGCTAAAACAATAACCAATTAATCGTTGTTGATACCTTGCATCCCTCCTACGTTTCAGACCACTTACTCCTAAGTCATACAAATAATGCATTCCTACCCTGTATAGACAACAAAAAAACATACGCATACAATGCCCAACCTACAGTTGCCTCTACCATCGCACACAGAGATTCCTAAAACCCCCCTGCTATCTTTCCCTCAAAAGAACACCCGCTATATCCCTGCACTAACTCTCGTCGCGCGTGTGTAACGTTGTGCAGGACCAGGACAGTATTCAGATGGGATGGCACCCGGAGCTGGTCACGGCCATTAGACCGTTCTCCGCCCTTAAGCCACCCAACGTACACTGTCAGATAGCCATGCTGGCTATCCCTGCTGATGTCCTGCTACGTGTACACGTAGCCTCGAACGGACATGCTCCCTTCCTAATAGAGAATCTATCCTTCAGTGATTGGGCGGCCATGGTCGCGGTAATGCAAACTAGGCCCCATGAACTTGAGGATAAGATCAAGGAGCTTGCCTCCAACATTGCAGAAGTCTGTAGAAGGTCTGCCATTGAGAACAGAGAGCTAAGCCTCATCATCGCTAAGGCTGAGAAGATCATACTCGAGCTCCACGGATACGACACCGCGCATCTGGACTGCGCAGGTCAGATTTCCATAAACGAGAGCTCTGAGACCTTCACAGACATCTACATCAATAGTATTGCACGCACTCCTGCAGAGTTAGATTACTTCAAGAAGAAGAAAGCCTTGAGAAGGGACAATGCCCACATGAAGATCTCCAGCACGTCTGGCGAGGCCAACCACAAGCTCGGCAAGAACAGCTCCTTCTTACCTCTCGCATCGAGCACATGGACAGAAAAAGCGGTACAATGGGTCCACAACAGGCTATGGAAGTTGAACTCCTTCAATTATACAGCACCGATTAGTGTGGATGCCTACATGGCGCTAGCTGGGCTGAATGATGCAGACATAGACAACTGTCGAACTGCTGCCAAGAACGCGACCATCCACTTTCCTGCTGGACGAGCCGGCTATGATGCGGACTTCCTGCCAATTGCCAAACTGGAGGAAGGCAAGTGTCCTAAAAAGTCGCTGCTTCACCAGAAGGGTATTCCCAGGTTTCCCACAGACCTACTTGAACTCAAGAAGCTGTGGAATGCTGGGAGACCGTTTCTCAAGTGCCCATGCATTAGCTGTGAGTTGAACTTCACATGGCTGGATCATATGATCTGGTACATCATCGGTAACCTCGACAAGTTGGACCCGAATGCACCATCAGACAAGATCCGCATGCTCGAATTCCAAGCACTGCTGCGCACTACATGGAGAAGACCAATTCTGGCCCAGATCACGTTCCTGTTCATGCGTGAATACATGATGAAGATCGTTCATCTCATCACGCAGAACAAGAACATCTCCGCTGAAGAAATCCTCGCTTTTGAAGATTTCCATAACGTACCATTTGTACGGAAGTTCACTGCAGCACTCCTCCCTAACGCTGAAGGACTTCTCACGCCAAGCACAACCAGAAGAAATGGTGCCATAGACTTCGAGGACAACTCCTTGCGCAGATGCCGCCAGATCAGACTTGGTACTCCTGCCTCTGGCTTACCTGCAATGCACTCATCTGCTACACATACACCACCCGCCTCTACCAATGCGCACGCACAGTCACCACTACTAGGCACTGCTACTGCGAATGCACATGTTCTCCAAACCACTCCACCGGCCTCAGATCCTATAATCCACAATGCTGCTTCCATTTCAGCACCTTAGCCACTGAGACAACCTGGCCCGATCACGCAACCACCTCAAGCTGCAAACTCCCGCCCCTCTCACGACACGCCCGGTATGCACACTCACAATAGTGGTCACACACTACGCAACACCCAAAATGCACAGCAGAGCCACATAAACCCACCACACATCAGCCACCCTTCAATACGCCCCAACACACAGGCCGGCCCACTGCCCATTCCCACCATCGTTCCCACTACTCCGTGGCACGCTATTGCCCCCCCTGTTCCTCATGTGCAAGTAAACACCTTCACCTTCGCAGCGGCTCAGCAAGCCGCCAGGAACAGTATCTCCCCCAACCCGAACACGTCACGTACAAGCCCTTTCCTCTCAATGCAAAGTACTGCCACTGCAAACATCTTTACTGCACCTGACCTAATCCCCACCACCACAGCCCCCACACCTCTCGGCAACACCAACACCACTGCGCAACCGGCTCCGCACCTCACCACAGAAGCAGAAAAGCTTGCACAGAGAACGGAGCAGCTACTGTGAATTGCAATGAGCCCGCTGCCTGCTGAGAAAAGAAGGAATACCCGCAGAGGAAACAAGACCACCAGAATACAAACAGGGTTGGGTAATGGTCAGAAGCAAAAGCGGCCAAGGCGTAGCAATCTGCAATATGACAACCGACAACCATATATGGATGATATCTTCCATGTACAAGCACAAAGACAGAGCACCTCTGCTTCGCACACGCTTTCCCTGTTGGCTGCTCAGCAAGCCATCACTGCCAACCCTCATGCTATCGCTGGTACGGTCCCAGCTATAGCGGACCAAATGCCTCAGTCTGCACGCGCATGGATCCCAACCACTGAGGAACTACTACAACAATGGCCACAACGACTCGGTAATGAGAACATGCCACGATAGCCGCCTGCACAGACGAACCCGGAGGTCATCCCAGTAAGCAGCAACGAGATTATTGATGGTGGAAGACAACAACTCCCAATCAGCATCAGCTCACCATCTCCAGAAACGCCGCTACGACCTACGAATGTTGTCGAGGCTCTGAGACACAACTATGGAGCCAGCAGTGCGGATTCATCGCTCCTCCGAACATCCAGCAACCAAACAGCACTCGACACCGAAGCTACCTCTTCAGAAGAATCATGGAAAAGAGTCTGGCGCAGACTCAGCCCGGACTACATGAATGGCACTACGAGCATCGCTAGAAGCTGAGATGCACCAGACTGACATAGACGGACTGTCTCAGATGATAACCAAACTCTTAGACCTACTAACTGCATCCCCTTACCCCGTTTCACCCCTGACTGTCTGGATCCCTTGCTCTATTTTGCCCTACCCCCCCGCACCTGCTAGTGCTCCCCCTCCCCCATCCTTCCATCTCTGTTTCCAGCGCCTTTTTCCCCCCCTCCCTTCCTCTATCACCCCCCTCCTCTACCCAAGACCTCCCCCCTCCAATCTCTGTCCCCTCCTCCAATGCACACAGTCGCCACGTCTCGCTCTCCCCCTCCCTTCATACACCTCTCCCAATTTCCTATGCTCCCAACCCCGCTTTCTCCCTTCTTCACCACCACCCTCTACTCAACCCAAAGACTCCCCCTAATGCTCGCCCTCACCTGCCCTCAGTTCCCCTATCTCGAACCCTCTCGCTTTCCCTCTCTCCCGCTCCCCCGCTACCATCGGCCACCCCTCTCCCTCTCACACCGTCAACCCCTCCTATTGCTCCCATTATTCGTTGTATGCTCACCACTGGATTTAGTACCGCATTAGCTGTAGCATCACGTAGCTGATGTGAAATCTGAGCCATAGGATACACCCTCACCTTGGCATTCCTATTTCAGCACTACGAGTAGCCCGGCAGGCAGATTATAAATAAAGATGCTATCTACCCTAATAACAGGTTGAGCAGCTTTCACTGAAAAGGCGGTGGCCATCACTTGGTGATCTGTAACATCGCAAAAATAAATCTGAAATGATAAGCAGTACTCTGCTTTCAAAAGATACTGGTACCTACTCCCAGTTGCTACAAGCAGATACTCGGCGCGGTTTTCATAGCTTTGTATTTAACGTTGTAGCTCATGACAGTGGCAAATGCCTGATGACTTCTACTAAGTCTTGAGTTGGAATGATACAGGCAATCTCGCCTGGTACCTTGGAAGTTGCATGAAATTTTGTTATCGTTCTTACGTATGCTAATATAAGACTGTTTCGCAGTTTTCAGAAAGTTAAATTTTGTTCCTTCTTTTCTTGATTTTAAATTTTCTATTTCTTTCTTTTTCTTTATTAATTTATTATTATTTTTTATTTTTTATTTTTTTATTTTTTTATATATTTATTAAATATTTTTTATTTTTTATTTTTATTATTTTTTTGATTTATTATTTTCTTTTCTCATGAAAGTACCCCATACTTCCAGGCGTGCCAGTATAATATATGCTGACCTTGCATCAACACGTGTCCCCCATGCGGTTTTGTTGTATCTAGGGATACCATAAAATAAACTTCTACCCTCCCTTTCGTACCCGCTAAAAGATCAGGGACAACTAAAAACTATATATTTTTTTAAAAAAACCTATACGCGCGTTCCCTACCTGAGAATGGTGGGTAACCATTGACTCAGCAATATTAAACACTTACCCTGGGAGAACAAGATCTTGAGTCCTGTTGCCAAAAACCACCATGACACCGCACACTGATGTTCTCTGCCAAATACTGTAAAACGCCACAAAATTTTTTGTCAACATAACCACCGCCTACCCTTTACTTACCTATTGCCCAACCCAGAAACAACGAAGCAGGTTCGTCCCTATCTAGCAACCAGGACATACAACACACTCCACCTATGACCCGCCAACACATACCTGGCATACCGTAACATACAAGGCCAAAAAGCAGCACACCCACCGAACCCCCAACAAGTATAATATACACTACAAATATACGCACAACCAGCAACGACTTACTCCCTCAAGTTGAACAACAAATAGCCAATGGCTATCAGTATGACTTTAACCACATTTGGCACGCTGTGTGTGCAGGTACATCGGCTACAGACCATGGAAGATGGAAGATTTGGCTGGAAAGCCCCCAAAGAAGATGACAAGATTATTATCGCATGCCACTACACCAACCGTTTAATGGACAGAATCAAATTCAAAAAAATATTCGATAAAATTCTGAAAAAATACAATTTGAACGCACTCCCGCTCCTGAACAAATGCACGTTCTCCTGGACCTATAATGATCAGATTGCTAAAGCCCTATATAAACCCGTTGCGGTCTTCCGCGACTTCACGATCACAGAATGGATGAACCAAACACAAGAGATTTGTTTTTGCCAGCATCAAAGGTATGCTGCATTCACTACCCCCCTACCGCCTGAACTAATCCAACCAGAGAACAATGCACACGTCCTCACGTTAAATCTTAACATTATTTCCAACAAGGAATTGCAGAGACTAACCCGGTGCGGACTAAACCATATCCCCGCGCAGACCCCCAACCAAAATGAGACCTTGGAGGCTGCACACCAGGTTTGGGAAAACCTCTTAAGCATGCTGGAACGGAATGGTGCACCTATGCCAAACGAGCACTTACCACTGGCTTGCAAGGAGTTCCTTAGCATCATACTACGAATGACTTCCAACATGCGGCACCACAGAGAAACTAACCTTAACGACCATGCAATCAAGCACGAAATAGACTTCCTCACTAGGCACTTCTACATTTCCGGTGCTGATAAAGCACCTAATACTCCTGTTGTTATCTGCATTAACTTGGTTAGACAGTTAGCCTTGCGAAGACTCACCAGCCCCGACTTTGAACCCTGCCTATGCACTACCAATGAGTTGATCACTCATCTTGAACTAGAACTGACTTCTAGGTTCCCGGACATCCCAATTGGCAAGAAAACATTACCCTACCTCTTTGCCACCTACAAGAAACACAAAAACTCGTTCCGATGGTTAACTAACGCCTCAGACATCATATCATCCCCTCTCGCTGACCTCACCGCTGAGATCCTGAAAACACTCATCAAAGTAGTGAAAACACATTGCGGAGGATTAACACTGCAAACCTTCGCAAAAACCGGACTAAGGGTCCCATACTGGTGGCCCATAGATTCTACAGCAGACTATGTCTATAACCTACCATCACAAGCAATGTCAGTCTTCTCTGCAGACATAACTAGATGTTATGAGACCATTCCTACTGACAGTAGCCCAGACGGCCTCCCCAACGCACTCCAGTTTTTTACAAAAATAGCATTCCAACAGGCCAAGGCATCCTTTGGCAATGGCATACAACTTGCCTTCAAATTCTATTACAAAGCAGACCTGCTTACCCCCACCTGCGACTGGTTTCACCACCCCCCCCTCCGGATACCTAACGCTTACTGGTGAAATGGTCAATACCATCAGCAACTGGCTCATCACTAACGCATATACCTCGCTAGGTAACGTAGTCTGGAAACAGACGCTAGGCATCCCTATGGGTGTCAATTGCTCGCCTATGTGGTGTAATATCTACTTCTTCAAATACGAATATAAATTCATGAAGAAGATGACTCATAAAGCCAATAAACACCTGCTTCCCCTATTTCAGCATGTGTTCCGATACTTCGATGACCTCCATGTCATCAACAACCCAATAATACAAGAATTCCTCAACCCCGAAATAACAAGCACAAGAAGCAAGTTCTTCCTATACCCCCTGCACCTCATCACCATTAACGAACAGACCTCAGAAAAAACGCAAGACCACAACAGGAATATCGGAATCAAAACTAACTTCCTTAACGCAACAATCGAAATCACTGACATAATCACCGGACAATACAAAACCTACAAATATGACAAAAGACGGGATTTGGACTTCACAATCACCCGATTCATACAAGCACACTCCAACAGACCAACACAGCAATCACTTAATCTGGTCATTCCTCAAATCATCACGATAATGCTTATCGAAACCAACGCACAACATGCGGCCTCCGAAATCAAACACATTATTAACTGCCTGGTGCATAACGGCTTCCCAAAGCACATACTTTTTGGCATCATTAGAAGGATACTACAACACCCAGAAGAGTACCAACCCTTCCGATGTTGCCCACAAACTGTCCTGCACCAGCTTCAAGACTATCCTATATAAATAACACCAGAACAAAAATATAAACATGTGTGTGTGAAGGAGGACCTACCCCGGGTGGGGTAGATCCTTAATCCAATGCAAAAAAGACCTACCCCACCCGCTCCTCCATCACGAGGGAACGGGGAGGGACACACA